TAGAGTTGTGTTTTACATGTGCTTGTTCATCCTTGGTGACCTCATTTGGGCTTGTTTAGTCTGTTGCCTGATGATACATTCCAAGCCTTACAGGGATTCTTTGGCTTTATTTATTGATTTTAATTGTTATTGCTTCCTAAATACCCAAAAGGATTACACCACACAGAGGTCAATGTCCTCCCTCCCTTCTTTCAGAGCTCTGAAGGTTCAAACCTCTCCCCACTGCCAACTCCTGCCTTTGGCTACATAGTTATTTATTTATTTTGTTTTCTGTAGCCAGCATTGATTCCAATGATAAACATGAATTAAGTCTCTCTCTCTCTCTCTCTCTCTCTCTCTATATATATATATATATATATATATATATATATGTAAATCAGAAGCCAGGTAGTTTTGCCTGCTTATGACTTGATCAATTTATAAGTATCTTCATAATTCCCTTCTTTTATTCCTTCCCCAACTGCAGTTTGTTTGAATGTGGTCTAGTTTGCTGTTAATTAAAAGATAATATGTTTAATGTCAGTAATTACAGAAGGTATGTCATGAGTTCACAGGCTTATTATGAAAGAAAATATACATCATTATGAAACCATTTCAGATCTATAATTCCTATACAATAGCAGGTGACCACAGTGTATTTTAGTATAGTTATGAAACCAATACCATATTGAATATTTCATAGTACAGATACTTGTAAAAGCTTTATCTACTAATATACCCACAATTGTGTCTTAACTTCTCAGAATCTGTTAAAGTAATATGGTGAAAAAATATTTATATAACTTAAAAGATTTGGGGCTGGGGTGTAATTCAGTGGTATTGTATTAGTTTAGCTTGTATGAGGTCCTGGGTTTGATTTCCAGAACATGGGGGGAAAAGTTTTAAAGTATAACTTTTTTTTTGGTACCAGGGATCAAACTCAGGACCTTGCACTTGCTAGGCAGGCACTTATGCTGCTGAGCTATCTCCCTGGCCCAAAGCATGATCTTTAAGTCAAGATTAATTTCACTTTTAAAAAAATTACCAGATTAGGAATCAGAAGATCTGACATCTATTTTGACCCTACTAGTGCACGTCAGGCAAGGCCTTCCTTTTGGAGTCCCGTCAACCTTATAGGACAGCTGTGAGCTCGCAAGCAACACCTGTGGCTAACTGCCCACTGTGCTTCCATCTCTTGTAACTAGTTGTCTGTTATCATTATTGCAAGTTGTGTCTTGTAATCATAAAATTGATGAACTGATTAAATGATAATACGAAGAGTCACTTTTGCTCCTATGACCAGTGAGACAAAAGCTGTGGGGGGAAAAGCTATGGGAACATGAAGATGGTGCTATTTGTAGATGTATTAGATGTGGGTTACATATTTGTAAAAAAACTACAAAAAACTTTTAGAGGGCTTTGTTTCACAGGCATTTTGGATTCTCATTAGTGTGAGGCCACTCTACAAAAACTAGAGATGTGGAATTTTAGGATGTACTGAGGTGGAAAAAATTTTAGACATCAATTTGCCCGAAGGCCAGCTTTTTACATGAACTGATTCTCAGTTTTAAATTTCCACTGTTCTGCTTATTTCCCTTAGGTAGAAGGGAATTTTACTTTTGATTGTCCTAGTGCTAAATTTGCTGTCCTTCTGGGGTACCGCCTGTTAAATTTGAGGCCTGACTTCCAAATTAAGGAAGGCCTGGAGTTTTACACTTGTTCTCTTATCTGGAAAATCTATCCAAAGAGAATTTCACTTTTCCCAAATCAACAAATAATTTCTGTTCAAAAGTGGCTTTCTTGTTGTGCATATTCCTTGGAGTCCCACTCTTGCTTTGATTTTGGCCTGCCAACGCCCCTCTACCTTTCCAGTTCATTGATGCTGTTAAGAGAGATTAAAAATGTATTACATCTTGTTTTCAGCAAACAGGATGGCTGATATTACCTGGGTAACATTTCATACTATAGACTTTCCAGAGGCCACTTATCCAAGACAGAGAATCCAAATTGTCTCTTGAAATCACTATGTTCCTCTGGAAGAGGCTAATAACCATATCTGAGGGCCTAGAAGCTATAATGCAACTTTTTTTCTGAAACAAAAACCACTGGGATCCTTGATTATGTTAATTCTATGTTTACCACAATAAATGAGCTTGTTGATTTTAGGTGGACAAACAGCTGATAGGTAATGATTTTATACTGCTTGTAGTTTTTATCTTTTCCCTATCTTGTCAGTGTTTGCAGAAGGTTACATTTATATAAATCATCTAATATAGATGGGTGATGATAGAAATGTTCTAAAATCTGTAAATTGTTCACATGAGACTATCAAGCACCTGATCTGTGGCTGGTGCCACTCAGGAATTGAACTTTTCATTTATCTCGTTTCAAATAACTTAAATAGCCACATGTGGTCAGTACCTCCATATTGGATAGTACACATTCCAAACAGATTGCTTCATGGTGCCACAAGATAATTACTGGTTACATAAGAAAGCTACATAAAAATAGTCTTGTGAATACCATCTTTTCTCCAGAATCTGTGTCCTGTATACAGATCATGAAACCAAAAGAGGAGCAGCTACTACTGGTGGAAAATTTTCTATTAATTCAACAAATATTTATTGAGCCTGTATTATGAATGAAGTGATACACAAGACACTGAAAACAGTATCGTGAACCTAATGATTCTTTTATTTTGTATGTAAATGATGACTGATAGATGGTTCTAAACATAGCCTTTACTGTACTTATTTACTTCAACTTCTCCTAGGTACATTTATTTGACAATATATAAGAACATAGTTAAATATTAGTTCTGTAAATACTCGGAAGGTGAGAAAAAGACATGTTTCATGGGTCAAATTCTGGGTTGGCACATAAAAGTCTCAGCATTCCTATATTGAAAATATTTATTTTAACTTTTTCTAATTCAATGCTTACCAAAAATGAGTGGAGAATCCCATTTTTCTCTACTTTGCACAACATTAATTCTATGGAACACATTTCGTGAATTAGGAATTTATGCTAAGGAATTTCACAAAGCATACATAACCAAAAACACCAAATCGTCTAGGCCAGTGTTTCATTGAGTGGCATTTGAAAATTTTAAGAGGCGCGGATATAATCTCAGTAATCTACAACTTCTCTTGAGAATTTTGAAATGATGTGATCTGAATTACATGATAATCTTAAAATGCTAAAACCAGCATGTTACAGATCATGTTAAACACATTTGAATAGCATATTGTCACATGATTTCTTTTTAAGATTGCCCTGTAATTTTCTTAGGTTAGAGTCTGAAAAAAGTATAGTTGGACTTAGATTATCTCTACTTCAAATGAAGGCCAAATCATGGGAGGGTAGACTGTATAAACAAAGGTGAGAGAACTGAACTATCACATGACAGAGTTAAAGTATGTTTTAGCTCAAAATCTCTTCTGTAGCAAATATTTCAATATTTTAGTCATACCTCAATTTGAATAAAATATCTTTTATATTACTATACTTTTAAGCTATCTATTCCAGGTTGTCTGGGTTACTTTTCTTCCCTTGCTGAGACAAAATACCCGATGCCCAGGATTAAGGAAAGGTTTACTTAGCTCATAGTTTGTAGAGGTTTCACTCTAATCAGCTGGCTTCAAGGCAGAGCAGCACGTGGCAGAGAGCAACAGTTCATGGCAGCAGAAAACAGCAAAAGCAGCAAGAGCAAAATGGAGGAGCAAGAGTAAGTCTCTTTCCCTCATACTGTACGTAGGCTACCCACCCCAGGGCGGGTGAAGCACTCAGGCCCACAATCCCAGCACTGGACCATGAACCAATCAAAAACTCTAGAACCCACCCCCCATGACTTCATGAGGCTTTGGCTGGACATCCAGACACAAACCATAACAAAGGTTTTGCAAATACTTTGGTTTTAGGGCTGGGGATGTTGCTTAGTTGTACAGTGTTTGCCTAGCATGCACAAGGCCCTGAGTTCAATCCTCACTACCAAGGGGGAGAGTGTGGGTTGGGGGGAGGGAGGCTCTTCAAAGACTTTGGTTTTACAGATGTGTTTATGGGCCAGTGAGATAACTCAGTGGTCTAAAGCACCTGCTTAGGCAAGCTTAGGCAAAGTTCAGGGACTGCAGTTCGATACCCAGCACCACATGCCACACTAGCTCTGTCCCCAGGGCAGGCTGAGCTGGCCACAAAAAGATGTGTATCAGCCTAAGTTTAAGAATTTTCTATCCTGTTGTATGTTTAGAAATTATAACTATTGTAGGTTTAAGTAACTTTATAAAAATACTTTTAAGTCAAAACTAAGAGTACAGAAAATTTATGTGGGAACATTGTTTCTAGGATATCTCCATCACATTTCTGAATGCATCATACAGCATTCTTCTTAAATATTTAGCCAATATTTAAAACTGGCTTGCATTCCAAAGCTATGTATCATCTGTTAAATTCACTTTGTGGCCAGGCAAAGTCTGGGAAGTATTAAAAACTCATCCTGGCTAATCATAAATTGACTGTGTTTAATATCACTGCAGATAAATAATAGCATTATTGACATATTCAGATATGGTAATGTTGGAACTTTTCTTCCTCCATATCTATTATTTTTTCTAAAAAATTTAGATATAGTATACATATTATGAAAGGCATGGCTTCAAATATCTCTCAAAGGCTGTCATTTAAGATCTTTATCTAGGGCTATTTGCTCACTTGAGTTCCAGATGCACATTCCCATTGCTGAACCAGCCATTCCTACCTCAGTTTTTTAAGTATTTTAAACTCATTTAACCCCAAATTCAATTCTTGCACTCTTGTTCTAGGTCAATGGTGCTATTTCCATTCACTCTCTCACATCAAAACTTGGAAGGCATTTTCTACTTTTTTCTTTCCATCACCCGACATCAGGGGTCAGCAAATCTTGCCAATTTCCTGTGTGACCTGTACCACTGCTTTAGTTCAAGGCTTGAAGGCTTGCACCATCTCTCAGGTGACAACTGCAATAGCTGCCTACCCAGATTTCAGGCGTTAGTTACTTTTCTTACCACTCTGGCTTAAAACAGAAGAATATATCCGTCTTCACCAATGGCTCTCAGTTGACTTGTGTCCGTCTGTGTGGCCAGTCGGAATTTGTTTGCTGAGATTTCTGCCTTACTGCTTATGAATTTATGGAAGGTAAGAGCCCTGTTTCATTCATCTTTTTCTCTCAGTATTTAACAGAAACAGCTGCTTACTATATGCTACTGAGTAGCAAACAGCACAGGCTTTAAATCAAACAGATCTGGGGTGAATTCATGCTTCATCTACCACTTTTTGAACTTTTATGTGACCTTGGACAAATTTAAATTTGAGCCAGTGATTTTTAACTTTGACCACATTAGAACTACTTTATGATTACATTATAAGGCCCTTCTTCCACCTAATTAAATCAGAACATACAGAAAGTGGGACTCAGCCACTAGCATTAATAGGTATACAGGTGATCCTAACATGTAGCCAAGGTTGACAATCACCTCTCTTAGCTTTAATATTTCATTTACCATATGTATTTCAAAGGGGTTTGGGCCACATAAAGTCAGAGTAATTTATCCCAGTGCCTGGCATACAATAAGTGGTCAATTGTGATGTTCATAAGCAAATTCAATCTTCCTTGCCAACTGCTACTTCCTAGTAACTCTGCCTTTCATTTCCTGGAATGCTCCAAGAATTTCTAGCTTTTTGTACCTTATGCTTGCTTTCATCCTGCTCTTAGCAGATGTCTCTCAATCTTCAAGTCACACTTGAAGTCACACATATTCTCCAGGTATGCTCCTTTATTCACTACTGCATTATAGATATGTTCCACCTTTAGAGCATTTGTCTCAATTTGTAATTACATATTCATTTAACCATTTACTGTGTGTCTCTCCCACTGGACTGTAAACTTCATAACAGAAGGCTTTATTTTGTTTTCCTTCTAATATTCTAGTACCTGCTAGGTTTCAGGTGCTATCCATTAAGGAATGAAGGGATTAATGATAATTTATTCTGCAATTTTAAAAAGGTAAAAAAAAGGCAAAGAAAATTTTTATAAAAGAAAGAGCAATATTTCTTGACTTCGTTTTTGTTGTTCAACTATATGTATCTGTCATAGCCCATTTTGGATTGCTGTAATAAAAATCCTTAGCCTGGATGTTTCATGCAGAAAAGGTTTATTGAGCTCAGCTTCAGAGACTAAAAGACTAACTTCAGGCAGTCCCATCTGTCTGGTCTCTGATAAGGGCATTCTGCCTACATTACAATATAGTGGATGGAATCAGGATAGCAGCATGCACAAGATGGAAAGGTGAGTAAATCCATGAAGAATACAATATGATCCTCACCTTTGAGAGGCTCAGAGGCAAAAGACACCAACAAATGCAATCCAGTGTTATAAATGTCAGCCTAGGTAATCTATCTGTATGGGGAGAAGAAAATCCAAGGGAGTGAAAGACTGTATGAGACAGGAAATAGGAGGCTAGGATAGCAAAGGGTCAGCTTCACTCTTTATTACAAATTGCTCTCCTGGGAACTACTCTGGTCCCACCAGATCCCAATCGTGCTGACTGCCATATATCCATTCATGAAGGTAGCTCTCCATGACCCAATTACCTTTCATTTGAGTTCACTTCTCTTAAAGGTTTTATGACCTCAATCTAAATATAACATCTAAACCATAGATAGCAGCATTCTGCATTAAAACACCATAACAAAAATAAAGCTCTCCAGAATAGGACATTATCTAATATTTTGGATTCCAGCTGTTGAGTGGAAATATTGCAATATAATTAAAATTTTTGGATGGTTTTAATTTGGGTAAAGTTTCCAAGTCGAAGATCTTTGATGCCTTTTGTAAGGCATAGTCATCTATCCCTAGGCAATAATTAACTTTAGTCTAATAATATCTCTTTCCAACATGGCAAACAAAACTTTTGTGGGAACCCCTGAAGATACAAAATTGTCCAATGACTGATATTTCCACCAGAGAATTAATATAATACCTCATTTTACAGATAAGAAAGTAAAAGTCTATACAAACTTACTGAACATAATTATACACAGACTGTCACAGAGCCAAAAATACAATTCAGGTTTCAAGAATCCTTCATCAGTATTCCAAGGACACTGCATCAGATTCAAAGTAATTAAAAATTGCTAGGACTTCTCAAAGTTCTTCACTAATTTATAATCTGGTGTCCATTAATTTAGGCTTTTAATGTTTCCATGAAAATAAAAACTTAGTTCAAATTCAGCTTGATGTTCAGATCTCATGTATATTACCACACATCCATTCACATGCCAGGTTCCTAGTCAATTTCATGTCTTTCCATTTGTGAGCTTGAAACAGAATGCACCAGCCTCACCACAGTTGCGCATTAAAAGGCTGTATTTTCCATAAAAAACCTAATCAAAGATGACAATGGTCCTTGTCATTTCCTTAACGGTTTTATATTTAGCTTTTCACTTGCAAAGAATCACTACATTGGGTGTAAGATTCATAGGAACTTAATGCTACATGCTTCTTGAGTTTTAGATTCCTGCCCCTTCTTGAAATTAAGTAAACTAACACAAATTCTTCTCTGGGCTAAGATCTTCAATTAGAATTACCTTGAAGGCAGTGTTTAAGTGTTTGAAAAAGTTGGGCTGAGGTGGGCATGAGCTGGGCATATAGGACTTATGTTTTAAAAAGAGCAGTTTTGAAGTTACTTTCTCTTTTCTGGGCACTTTTGAAAACAAATTCTTAATCCATTTAGTATACTTGGCCCACATTTTTCTTGATTGGGAGGTAAAAACCTATAGGAAAAAACTCCATTAAGCGTTATAGGAAACAAAGGTTATAGAGATACTCGCCTAGACACTTGTGTTGCATATTTAGTTTTTCTCTTACTTTTCAGGAATAAATGTACTAATAAAAAGATCAGGGCCGGTGATGCAGTGCAGTGGCAAAAGGCTATGACTTCAATTTCCAGGAACCCCCCCCAAAAAAATCAAAACATAAATATCCATCTCTTTGTGCTAGGTTGTAGTTTATTGTTAAGAGTTCTGACCTAGCAGACATGGGCACCTGGGTTCTATCGTCAGCACCACACACACACACACACACACACACGAAATCTTGTCATTTATCAGAGTTAAAAATTATTCTAGGGCTGTTTCATCTAAAACTCTCGAGGCCGTTGTAATAGGGCCACATCCATAATGTATTTTGGGCTAATCCACCAAAAAGGTGATATATGGAATAGCCCACTAAGGTAATACAATTAAGAGAGATTTCGGTGTTGCCTTTAACGATGTTTGCTGATGATTTGCCTTTTGGTTCTATGTATGGTTTGGTGAGGCACTGAACCACTTCGTTCAAAAGTTCCCCTTCACAGTCTCCAAAGGTCTCTTTGGGTTTGTTCATGTTCCAAACGTATGATTTTAGATTCCGGGGAATAATCCTTCTGAGAAGTAGGAGGTTTATGAGGTTGTGTTCTCCCTCCGCGGGAGCAAACCTCTAAAGCCCTTCCGGTGAAAACAACCTCCCCGCAAACCGCGTTACCTGCTCGTCCACAAGGGTGATTAAGAACGAAAGTGCCGTGGAAAGGAGATGACAGAAAAAGTCACTATGCTACTCTTGGAGAGTAAAGTGCGACTCGGTAGGGGAGAAAAAAGCGCAAAGCGGGAAGCGGGGCAAACGCACTGAGGCTACGGGGAGCCCAGGGCGTCAGCGGGAGGAACCCGACCGCCCGCCCGCTCGCCGACGCAGGCAGAACCTTCGGCTCCGCGATAAGGGGCACGCAGAGCTCGCGCCTCACCCCTGGCGTGCGTGCCTCGGCGCACGACTCTCTCACTCCGCCCACAGGGTCTGGGCACCTGTCACAATCCACCACTGCCGGGTCAGCAAACAACAGCCCGTGGCGCAGCCTTTCATCCCCCACAGTTCACGCCCCCGGCCGGCCACGAAGGTCCAGAAGACCGGAAGTCCTTCTGCCCCGCCTTCCCAGTAGGCTCACTAGTGCCAGCGGGCACCGGAAGCTCCTCTGCCCCGACCGCCGGTACGCAGCGCGCAGGCCGCGCAGGCGCAGTGGGACGCGGGCGGAGTTGTGGGCGGGGAGGAGGAAGAGGCGGGGAAGGGACGGGGGCCGGTCCCAGAAGATGGCGGAGGAGGGGGTGAGTTGGGGTCTCCCGGCAGCGCTTAGGTGACGTGTGCTGAGTGAGGAAAGCAGCTTCCCGGAGCGAGAGGCCCTCGGGAAGAGGAGCTAGCTTTGTGCAGCCTGGGAATCCTAGTGGCTGGTGTGGAAACGCAGGACCACGGATGGGGCCTGCGGGGCGAGGGGCTCCGGTTATCTGAAGAGAGGTCGGCGAGGTCTAGAAGGGACCGCGAGTTCGGGGACAGGTGCAGGCGAGGCCCAAAGGTCAGTCGGCAAAAGAGGAAGGTCGGGATGGGAAGAAGACTGGAGGACGGTGGGAAGGGCGACCCCGGAGGTCTGAAGAGGTTGACGTTGGCGAGCTGTCAAGCAGTGAGCTGTCAGGACTCGCTGACTTTGTAGCCAGGAAAGACACGCTTGGGAGGGGGCGGACCACGATCAGCTAGGTCGCAGTGAATTCAGAATCCACCCAAGGGATGCGATACTGAGCTGGGGAGTAGGACGCTGGCACTGTAAGTTGGGACAGTGTACTTTTGCAGTAGGTATGTGGGTAAGCCAAAGGGAATTCTTGCAGGCCCTAGAGGTCAGTGGATTTTAGTCTCAGTGGGGTAGCAAACCGAACAAGGAAAACCGCAAAGGTGATGGAGGTGGGGCAGGAAACGGTGCTAAAACTTAAGTGATAATGACCTATGTGAAGTTAATTCGGGGAAAAGTTATTAAAGGATGGTAAAGATAGACAGTCTAGGAAAATATACTACGAAGAGTTTGCTGCTTTGTAGAGTTGACAAATGCTTTGAGAAGGAATTGGTAGGCTTTGACAGTTGGGTCAGTGAAATTGATGAGCTTCAGGAGTGCGGTGGGGCTGAGGATTGCATGCTTCTGTCCTGGGTCCAGGGGGCGAGAAAGAACAGGCAGCCAAGAAGTGGCTAGATTGTGTTTTCCTAACTTTGGGGTTTGGCTGTGATAGTGAGCCACTAAACAAAAATGAATGAAGGGGATGTCCCCACTAATTGGGATCTCATAGAA